TCTATGTCTACTAACACTAGTTGTCCTTTCCCATCTTTCTTCATCTTGGCCCAGACATGCATCCTTTCCTTCAACTCTTTGCCACGCCTATGAGGGAAGTGCGTAGAGAGATCCTAACACAAGCAGTCTCTGAACAACTACCTAGGTAGTGGGCAGCAACCTCTGCCATAGACACATGTGGTTTGCGAGTTTCTCTGTGGTGCGCGCACTCTTCTCCACATGGTCTAGGGGTGAGGGCGGTTGCCTTTTGCTTGTCGGGGTGCTCTATATTTGAGGCGAAATTCGATGATGTGCCCCAGATCACCGAATCAAATACACTGATCCTGGTATATTCTCTTTTGCCACACATTCTATTCCAAATCCACCTCTTCCCAAGGTCTCCCTTGCGGTAGAGCAGGGTGCCATTGACCCCTCCTGGGAGGTGATCGATTAGAGCGAGGACGGTTTTGCGGGGGACCTTGACCCCTACCTCCCTCTTGGCGGTTTCCTCTGCCGCCAACCCCCTAAGCGCCTTGTCCTCGACCACCAAAGGCCCGATCCCCTTGGCCCTGGCCTATTCCTCTTCCTTGCGGCCTCCCTTTAGCTGCGACAGTAGCGTAGGTCTCCCCTGACCACTGCCACTATCCCCCTCCTCTAGGCCCCACTTAATCTGGTTGTAGGGGACCTCCTCCATACCACCCTCATCCGAAGTAAGGATCAAATGATCCTTGGCCCGGACTTGGCCAAAGATGATATGACCTTTCCATTTTTGCCCCTAGTCCAAATTTTTGTGCCAAAAAGTAGATGCTGGCATTGACTGGGCTTCGAATGTCACCACCTCCCAACTCAATGTATTGTAGGTCATGGTGGGCTATTTGGTCATTTCAAAGAAGTGCCCGTGCAAGGCATTGGGCATGGCACGGTAGAAAAACTGAACTAATTGGGTCTCAGTGACCCCATGGCCAGGGACAGCAACTAACTCGTCTATTACTCCCTTGAGTGCCCTACCACTCTTCCACTGGCGAGAGTGGATGGTTTGTAGCTTGTAAGAGGGCCCTAAGGCCCCAAGTGGCATCTCCAAATCTTTCACGAAGCAACCTGAAGAATTCAGGAAGAGGGGTGACCTTGGAATATGCTACCATATTAATATCACACTAAGCCACGGGGGCAAGCAATCTGGTGAAGATAGACGCTTCGTCTTTGAGGGTGTGGAAAGCGATGAGGACCTGTTCCTCAGGTATGATCTTATGTAGGTGGACGTACGAATTAGGGTTCGCCTACCAATTATCGAAGTTCTCTTATTTCTTCCCACTGTAGGAATCAGGAAATTTTACCTTAACTGGCTCTCTACGGGGGCGAGCTTCCTCCTCCTTTGGAGCAGCAAGCTTTGCGCCTTCTATGGTGCTTGTAGAGAATCGCTTTGTACTTTCTATTCTCGATTTCATCTATGTGCCCACGTGCAACATCATCTGGCGTACAAATTGTCTGAATCCCAGGCGTATGGATTGCAATGCTATATCCTGGCCCCTCACGAACTGGTATTGTTCTTGCATGGCTTTCCATCTCCTTCGCTGCTCACGTATCCCCCTCAATTCCTTCTCCATCTTACCTGCTACCTCCAGTCCTTGCTTCTCTCTGGTGAGGTGCAGCTTCCACTCCAACTTCTTTTCGTTTTCGATTGTTTGGCGGCGTAGAGGATCTTCCTCTGCGTCCAGTTCTCGTATCACTGCCTCTTGTTCTGCTGTGGGAACATACATGATCGCCTCTTCTGTTTCTCCCAAAGACAGATTCACGACCCACTTTGAAATCATCTTTTCCATCCACCGGTCCCCCATCTTCGTGTCGCTTGACTCCCCTCTTTCTCTTTTACTCTTTATCTCCAAGGGCGGTTCTTCCTGCACTTCCTCTTCCACTTCTTCTTCTTCTACCGCCTTTAACGTTTCTTCTTCTTCTTCTCTTTGCAACTTCTCCATCTCCTCCTGCAACTTCTATTTCTTCGCCGCCTGCTCCTCCAGTAAGGCCAACTTCTTAGCTTGCTTGATCAACTCCTCCTTGGCCTCCTCTTTTCTCTTTTAATATGGTGGCGGCTTGCTCTTCCTGAGCCTTGGTGTATGGGGTGGTGCTCTTACCGCTACTCGTGTCCACCATGGTGAAAGATGCACAACCGAGTGACAGTTCCACTCCTCACCACTTAGACCTCCACCCACTGGCTAACTAATTAACTGACTCTCTAAAGACCACAAAGTCCTCCCCTTTGCTCCAGCCAGGTTACCACAGCCGACGGAAGCTTTCGCCACTACTATCTTTACAAAGACCTCGACCCAGATGCCTTGCACCTGCAGTCAACCCACCTGGCTTTCACTCCGGTTAAGAACCCTGTCAACTAGGGTCTCTAGCCTAGACCTTCAGTTATGGCTGTCACTATAGGACTTCAATGCTGATCAGGAGGCATTTAAGCAGATCCCCCACAACTCCTCAGGAATTTTTTAACGTCGCAAACAGGACGACGCGATCAGCAAGTCCTCTCAAGACTTAGACAGGTGGTTGTGCAGCCCACAACTCGGATTTTGGGCCTACCATGCGACACTGAGCAGCCCGCCGGTCTACACCGGTCCTTGGGAGGGTTCGTCCTCCGGGACAATCAGTCGTCAGACATGGACTTAAGCCCTACTCAGCCCGTGTGGGTTTGGTCAACAAAGCTCTACGACCTCATACACGGACTTCCTATCACCTAGACAGAAGAAACTCAATGATGAAAGAAGAGACAAATAGACTCAGCAAATCCCATGGGGTGAGTGCATCCATAGGGCGAGGGGATAGGCTGAAGGCTTGGCGAGAGTATACCAACTCCAGCTTGGTCAATTTCGTGGTCAATCGCTCCGGTCAACGCTGGTCAATGGTGGTCAACTCCCTGGTCAATGCCTTGGTCAACGTCGATCAACACCTCAATCAACACCTTGATCAACCCCGGTCACACCTCGATCAACCCCGATCAACTCCTCGGTCAACCCCTTGGTCACCGCCCAACTCGGCTATGGTTGTTGACCCATTCAGTCCACCATCCTTCGATTTCCTCCTTCACCCTCCTTCCTTTTCTTCCTTCTTTCTTACTTCTTTCTTCCTTCACCCCCGACTACGGCTTCTCTCTCCTCTTCGTTCCTCCTTTCTCTTCTTCGGTTGTGGATTCTCTTTCCTCTTCGTCTCTTCCTCCTCCTTTACTCAATCTTCTTTCTTCTTCGTCCTCTCCGTTTCCAAGCTCGGCGGCTATGGCCACCACCTCCTTCCTTGGACCGCAGAACCAATCTTGTATCAAGAATTGTGCTACAAAGAATATAATAAGCACATGTTTCTTTTAATCTATAGTAAAATACCTAGAAAACTAGATCCAAGATTATTCTTTTATATAAAACAAATTCATTCCTCTCTCTCTCTCTCTCTCTCTCTCTCTCTCTCTCTCTCTTCGTCGTTGTCTTTGCAGGTACGCGGCAACAGCGCAGCTAAGGGGGGCCCTTCTTCCTCAACAAGGCTGCTGCTGCTCTGGCACCCAATTGGCGCACGCCTCCTTCCTGCTAACAACGACAATGGCGCGTGGAACAACGGGAACATGCTCTGATACCAATTCAACCAAACTCATTTTCTTCTCCGTTTAGCATGCATGCAGACAATTCGGAATCCACAATGGCGCCAGGCGCCCACTCAAAGCTCAGAGATATTAAGGCCGAGAACATAGTTCAAATACAAATCGCTTCAATTGGCTATGGCGCCTGAGCGCCTACACATCACCCAGAAATAGGCTGAAACGGGGTAGGGCCTGCAGGCCCTCGTTTTTCAGCTTCCAGGCTGAAAGGAACGGGGCCTGTAAGCCCTAAGTTTTAGGCTTTTAGGCTGAATGTCCGGGACGGGCCGTGCAGGGCCCGTGTGGCTACGCAGTATGCCACACCCCCCCTTCTTGAAGAACCGAGCTTACCTGCGAGGGCGAAGCTGTCTGTCTGAGGGAGGGACCACAGTCCGGGTGGGAGGGGCTGGTCGTGAAGCTTCCTCAGCTAACCTGCGCTTTTCATAATGCGCGTAGATCAGCGGTGCGAATGCTTTCAAATCTGCGCCTGAAATCCACCGAGTGTCGTCGCGATCGCATGCTTTCAATGTGACTTTGTATTGCTGCGGCTTGCTGCCGTACTTGCGATCGAAGATGACGCGGTCAACTTCCTGATGGCCATCCATAGAAGGAGGGTCCTGCGATCGTCGGTCCGGAAAGTCGTCGCTCTTGGTTGGCGTGTATGTTGCCAGCTTCGAGGCGTGGAAGACCGGATGGACCGTCACATGCTCTGGAATGTTAATCACAAATGAAGGGCCATCGGGCTCATCGCCCGCGCTTGCTGTCACAGACCAAGGTCCAAACCACTTGGGAAGCAGTTTGCGTGAAACATCCTGTTCCTGTGCAAACTCTTCCGCGGAGACCCAAACCAGATCACCGGCGCGGATGGGACATGGTACTCGACGCATGTTGGCTTGCTGATGCATGCGGACTTTAGCCTTTTGCATATTTGCGCGGGCTTGAGTCAGCAATTCCCTGTACTTCCGGACGAAAGCGGGAGAGCAAGCAGCGTCAATGTCGGCTGGTCGAGGGAGGAGAAGGTCTGCCAAGATCCGGCCTTTCCGTCCACCGTGGTGCAACTCGAATGGAGTCACGCCGATCGCCGAATGCACCAAAGTGTTGTAGGCGAACTCGATGTCGGGGAGGCGGTCAACCCAATCTTTCTGGTCCGGACGGATGAGCGTACGAAGCATCATTTGAGCGGTTTGATGTGCCCGCTCCGTCTGCCCGTCTGTCTGAGGATGTCGAGCCGAACTTGGTTTCATTGTTGTGCCGGACTCCTGCATGAGAGCAGTCCAAAAAGCCAACATGAAACGAGTGTCGCGGTCGCTGACAATGTCTTCTAGTACACCGTGGCCACAAATCCAACCAGTGTGCAGGAGGCGTGCGAGCTCGGGAGTCGTGGAGTAGTACTTGCAAGGGAGAAAACGCGCGTACTTACTCAATCGGTCCACAACCGTGAGGATGTCGTCGTACCCGAGCTGGTCGCGAGAAAACAGACCGGTGATGTCCATGGCAATGGAGAGACCGGGTTCCCGTGGGATAGGCATCGGGTGTAACTCGTCGTGGGGATTGCGGTTGCGGGGCTTGCTGCATCGGCAAACTTCGCAAGAGTCGCAATACCGAGTGACATCGGTAATGAGGTCGGGCCATCGGAATTGCTGTCGAATGCGGGGCTTGCTGCGTCGGCAAACTTTGCAAGAGTCGCAATACCGAGTGACATCGGTAATGAGGTCGGCCATCGGAATTGCTGTCGAAGCCGTGCAATAGTGCGGTTGGCTCCGAAATGGCCGACGAGTCGTGAATCATGGTACTCGCTGAGGAGGCGAGTCCGAAGACGACGGTCGCGTGGGACACATAGTAAGTCCTTGCCTCTCGAGTGGAGGAGCAAGTACCCGTTGGCAATGCGGTAATGGCTGGCCGGCGGGTGATCCGAAGATAATTAGCATAGAGCGTGCCGAAGTCCGGATTAGACTGATAATGTCGCTGAAGCTCCTCGTCGAATGCGAAGGCATGATGTGACACAGCGCAAAAATCAGGTCTTCGCGAGAGTGCATCTGCTGCGCGATTGGAGAGGCCTGGGACATGCTTTGGTGAGAAGTCAAATTGGTCGATGAAGTACATCCATCGTCCGATCGTGCTGCTCACCGTGTCCTGCGTCTTGTAGTAGGTCAATGGATTGTTGTCTGTGATCCATGTGAAACTACGACGCCCAAGGAGGAAGTGCCGCCGGCGTTTGAGAGCCATCACGAATGCAAGCAGCTCCTTCTTCCTTGCATCATCAAGCGAGTTGATAGGAGGCACTTTGTGGCTGAAATACTCCACAGGGTGCCAATCGACGCCGTCGTGCTCTGTTCCAAGACTGCCCCAATGCCATAGCCGGAAGCGTCCATAGTCACTCGTGTCGGCAGGGTGGGGTTATAGATGCTAAGGACGGGTGCCATGATCATAGCCGTCTTAAGTGCTTGGAATGACCGGTGTGCGTCGTCATCGAATACGAATGGCACCTTTGGCGACTGTAACCTCGTCATAGGTGCAGCAATCCTGGAGTATCCGGTGATGAATCGCTGATAGTAGCCCGCCAACCCCATGAATGAACGAACGTCCGTGGTGTTGGTGGGCTCGGGCCATACTCGTAGGGCCTCGATCTTGTCCGCAAGCGGACTGATGCCTTGCGGCGTCACATAGTGTCCCAAGTACTCCAGCTCCTTCTGTGCGAACTCGCACTTGTCGCGGTTTGCTTTGTACTTGGCCTGTCGTAGCCGCTCCAAAACGGTGCGCAGGTGTTCCACATGCTCGTCCAGACTCCGGCTGTAAACCAGAATGTCGTCGAGGTAGATAAGTACGAAATGATCCAGCATGTGTCGAAACTCCGTCGTCATAGCCGCTTGGAAAGTGGYTGGGGCATTCGTAAGGCCAAATGGCATGACCAGCCATTCGAAATGCCCATACCGAGTCTTGAACGTGGTCTTGTAGCGATCCTCCTTGCGAATCTCGAGTTGGTGGTACCCTGACTTGAGATCCAGCTTAGAGAAGAACTGGGCACCGCCCAATCGCTCGAGAAGGTCGTCGATGCGTGGGAGAGGGCCGGCGTTCCTGATCGTCTGCGAGTTGAACTTGCGATAATCGATGCACAACCGCAGGTCCTTGTTCTTCTTCCGGACGAAGAGAACAGGAGCACCGTATGGCGATGAGCTAGGCCGAATCCAACCTTTCTCTAGAAGGTCGTCGAGTTGTGCCCGAAGCACACTTAACTCTTCCTCGCTCATTCGGTAGATGCAGTCGCGCGGAGGTACGGCCCCGTCCTCGAGGATGATCTCGTGGCGGATGGGTCGATCAGGTACTACTCCGTGCGGGCCTTTCAACACGTCGCTGTAGGTGTCGAGAAGCTCGGTGATGCGTGGATCCGAAGGTGAGTCCGTCGATGAAGCGTCATGTGGCAGGAGGGCGTGGAGAAAACACACCCCCATCTCCTCGATGTCGTCTCTGATGATGGAAGATCGCATGCTTGCGGCGGATATCACGTGGCAGCTAATCGAAGGATGAGGAAGAGGCACTGTGCCTGGAACTAATACTCAGTTCCGATCACGAACGTGAACGGTGCGGTTGAAGAAGTTCACCGGGTGATCCTTGCTTCGCAGCCATGACATGCCCAAGATCATGTCGAATTTGGTGTCCAGAATGTCAAAGGACACTGCCTCACTTGCGTGAGGGGCAAAGTACGCTGGGACGGCGTCAATGCACCGGTCGATGGACTTGTGCGTATGACCGTCTGCCAGGGTGACTTGCGGAGGCTGGGACTTCCTCCGGACACGTGGGCCAAGGCCGGCGCGTACCATGAAGTCCTGGCTGATGTAGTTGCGAGATGCTCCGCAATCGATCAAGGCACTGCAGGTCGCCTCTCCGATCTGAATGCGTATGTATAGCAATGGTGCGTCGATCTCGTCGTACCGTTGCGTCTTGAACTCGCGGTCGATCTTCGCGATGTAAACGTGAAGGTCGACAACCTCTGCTCCGGCGTCCATCAACGGAGCTGGTGCTGCAGTGTGCAAGTAGTCCCGCAATTGTGCCATGAGCACATTGCAATGCGGTTTCGGCAATCGTCCGGTCGAGGGAACGGGCATCCACTGGAAGTCCGTGAACGTTAACGGGTCGAGCTCATCAAGTCTTCACCATGACATCGAATCCCCGGCGATAGATTGCGGCGAAGCTGCCGAATCGGTTGTCAATGGTGATGAAACCGTGCATGCGGTGGACTATTGCACGTGGAGCGGCTGGTTCAGCGGTGGAACCAAGTGGACAGCATAGTCCTCGTAAGTGTACCGAGGACTTGCGACATTCGCATCCTCCCCAGATGTGTAGGAGGCCGCTAGCAAGGCGGCCGAATCTGGCGGAGTAGAAGGTGGAGTCGCCTCACCTTCCGCAGAGCTYWGTTTCCCGAGCTGAGGCGGGGTCGCACATCCTCCTTGCCTTGATCTTGGCATAGGGAGGTCTTGTGCTTGGTGCTGTTGCACCAATAGCAGCTGCCGTAGCGGCCGCGGACCTTGTACTCCGCCTCGGTCAAGCCAAACTTGACCCATGGAAACTGTCCTGGCTGTCCATTTCCGGCGTCCGATGCGGATTTCGCCTTCCCATTGTTGCGGGACTTGTTGTTGCTTCGCGGCTGGACAGCAGCCACCTGATCTCCGTCACTTGATGCTGGAGTGGTTGCTGGGTTATCTCCACTGTCCTGCTGGACTGCAGCGAAGTGCTGCTGTCGCGGACCAGTTCGTACCTTCTCCACATAGGTCGGTTGCCATAATGTTGATTTCTTGTGTGCAGCTGACCTGTTGGTCTTGATGATCTCCCTCGCTTTGTCAATGATCTCCGCGAAGGTTGAGTACTGCTCGCGATCACCAAGAGCCTGGCTCAATGCAGCACAGGACCTGTTGTAGAACTCACTAATATGCTCGAATGGTAAGTTCAGATTGGGCACAACCGCAATCTTCTGCCACTCCGTGAGCCAGTCCCGTGTTGTTGTGTTGCCCTATGACATGGTGAACAGTAGGTTGATAGAGAGTGCTGGCGCGTCGTCGACGATGAACCGCTTCTTCCCACAACCGTGTCAGTTCTTCCCATGTGATCTTGTCCTTGAGGTCCGGTACGTCGACGCCGTAGGAGGTTGCCAGGTGGGTCAACCAGGTCTCGCATCCGCCCTTTGAGTTCAGGAACAGGGCGCCGATGTACTTGTGCTTAGCGACAGGCAGAATCCCGAGTTGCGCCGTGAATGCCTCCCACCAGAGGGTCGGATCTTGCTGCGCGTAGTCGTCGAACTTTTCCAGTTGGAAAGTTGGCATCTTCTGATTGCCATCTGCGTTCGTCGACTGCAACGGTTGGACCTCGGTCTTCAAGGTTTGCAGCTGAGTGCTGATGGTGGACGGCGCAGCGAAGGTGTTAATGTCGCCGAGCATTGCCAGGATGTGGTCAACGCGTTCCTCCACTTGGCGGCTAGAGGGTGCACTGCTAGAAGCCCCAGCAGTTGGTCCTGGTACAGCCTGTTCCAGGTCAAGCAGTCGGGCATTGAGTGCCCGAGTTGCATCCTCATGGCTCTGCACTGTGTGGCGGAGCGTCGCCAACTCCTGATGCTGTTGCGTCAGGTCCTCGTACTATCTCTCCAACTCTGACCGTTGGTAGTTGCAAGCATACAGCAACCGTGTCACTAGTTTGGAGAGGAACTCCTTATGCTGCTCTTCCGGTGTTGCCTCGTCGCCATTCGGTTCAAACAGCCAGAACTTGAGTCTGTCGATGCTTGTGGCTTCATGCCGCTGTAGCAGATCCTGGGCTTCCTTGCGGCGAGCCTAGGAATCTGCGTCTGCATCGGCCTGTAGCCGCAGCTTCTCTGCTGCTGCTGCCTCTTCAGCCTGTACGCGGGGAGCCTCGACTGCCAGCAGGCGTTGTTCCTCAGCCTCTATCTGAGCCAGGCAACGCTGCTTGTAGGCGGCAATGGTCTCATTGGCCAGTTGGCCTGGCAGGCCCGTCATGTTGCTGACGTGGCACTGCTGCTTACGTGGCACTGCTGATGTGGCACTGCTGATGTGGCACTGCTGACGTGGCACTATGTCTAACGTGGTACTGCTGACGTGGCACTGTGTCGGACGTCACTGCTGATGTGGCACTGTGTCTGACGTGGCACTGCTGTCGTGGCACTATGTCCGACGTGGCAATGTGACCTGGCACTGCTGACGTGGCACTGCTGATCTAGCACTGTGACGTGGCACTGCTGACTTGGCACTGTGACGTGGCACTGCTGATCTGGCACTGTGACGTGGCACTGCTGACGTGGCACTGTACCGAAACGTGATGCATGCAAGGGGTGGGTGGGAGGGAAAACGGAGGGAGGTAACCAACCCAACAATACTTTCCTCCAGCCCTAATCAACAGATAAAATAAAAAAATAAAAAATAGAAAGAGGACTACTTCCTTTTTTTTTTTTTGTATATATCTGTCGATTTATGATGAGTAGGATATGTCAGAAGAGTATTATGAACGAGATCTAGGCTAGGTGCCGCAAAGTTTC